CATATGAGACTCCATTAGGTGTCACAATCTGTTGGCCCCACAGCCAGGCGGTCTCAAGTTAACTTATTCCACGACATCACAGCTTTGTCCTCCGTCCACACCACCAGTGGATGTGGAGTTAAATTCCTGGGAGCGTAAGTTTCAGTGCTCTCCACACAGGAGAACACAAACCTAGGGCACAACCAATAAAAACCCAGAGACAGAAATTGGAGTTCAGCCTGAAGGTCAGAAAAGCAAACCGCCAGCCACCAGCTCTCACCTCTGCCTCAGTCTGAGATGGCGATCCTGCCTCCAGGAATCTCAGAATGAGACTGTGTGAGGGTTGTCTCCTCTCCCTATAGTCCTCTCTAGTGCACCCCTACTGCCCGGTTTCTATGGTAAACTAGTGTGGCTACTAGGATTAAATATGTGTGTCACCACTGCCTGGTCTGTAAGGCTAATCAGTGCAGCTGTTTTACTCTCTGAACTTCAGGCAAGCTTTATTTATAAAATACAAGTGAAATATCACTGCACAGACCCTAAACCAAGGTCAGTCATAGGCTGCATCTCCAAAGGATAGCTTTGTCTGCATCTGGGGTCCAGACTGTCGCTGATCTGAATGGCTCTACTACTGATATTGTCAGCCCAGTAATAGGTTGGCTTTTTTGTTTATTTGCTTTTTAATAGCATTTCAATTATTTGACCATTTGGAAAAATCTGAATGGTTTTTCCAAACGAATTTTGCAGTTTAATATCTGTTTAGTTTGGCCCTCGTCTATAACCCAGACAAATTGTCTTAGTAAAAAGTGATGCTAGATCTTCAGGAAGGAAGACAGGTGTCAGTGGAGGCAGGAAGGGCACATGCTACATCCTGCCTGACAAGTCCCTTTGACCCTTAGGGGCCTACACTTAGGCAAGCCCAGAATTTTTTCACTCTGCCATAGAAAAAAAATTTAAGACAAGATGGCATGAAGTAGAATTGAAATTTATTAAAAGACTTGTTTGTTTGTTTTCTGTGAGAAGTAGGGTTTCTCTGTGTAGCCCTGGCTATCCTGGAACTCACTCTGTAGACCAGGCTGTCCTCAAATTCAGAGATCTCCCTGCCTCTGCCTCCCAGGTGCTGGAATTAAAGGCATGAGCCACCACCGCCTGGCAAAAGACATTTTCGTTTTGCTTTGTTTTTCAAGACAGGGTTTCTCTGTAGTTTTGGAGCCTGTCCTGGAACTAGCTCTTGTAGACTAGTCTGCCCTTGAACTTACAGAGATCCACCAGCCTTTCCCTCCCGAGTATTGGGATTAAAGGCGTGCGCCACCACCACCCGGCCCAGCAAAAGACATTTTTACCACGGATCTTTAGCACAGGGGTAATGCAAAGAGTTGTGCAGGGGAAGAATAGATACACCGATGTGTGGATGTAGGCTTCTCAAAGGAGCACTCTGTGTATGGTTAGATTTATTTTACTGTTTTATGTATATGAGTAGTTTTGCTTGTGTGTGTGTGTGTGTGTGTGTGTGTGTGTGTGTGTGTGTATATGTATATACCATGGGCCTGCCTGATACACTTGAAGGTCAGAAGACAGTGTCAGATCCTCTGGAACTGGAGTTTATTGTAAGCCAACATGTGGGTGCTTGGAATCAAACACAGTTCTCTGCAAGAGCAACAGGTGCCCTCAGCCACTGAGCCCACTCCAGCCCACCTTATTGTTTCGTTGTGTCTTCATCTGTGTGTGTTGTATTCATCTGTGTGTGTTGTATTCATCTGTGTGTGTGTGTGTGTGTTGCTGACCTGAACTCAGGTCCTCGTATTTGTGCAGCAGACACTCTCCCAACCAGCCATGCCTCCAACACCTTGACTGTCTTTATAGTGACTATGTCTACGACCTGTGACTTTCTATGTTGAATTGCTCAGAGAGTATAATTTAAAAGAAGGCTTACAGGGTAGAGAATTTGCTTTCATAAACAAAATTGCAAAGTATACATTATTGTTCAGGTTTAGGAATGAGAGCGAGGTTTTACATATATAACTCAAGGTAAATAGATCATTTTACCTGTATGTCAGCATGCTTTATCGTCTCTGACATACCTATCTGAGATGTCTCAGGAAAACATCCATTGTCTCTGCACTCATCTTTGGCTTTATTGGTGGCCCAGAGCTTCCTACAGTCAACACGATAATCGTTGCTATACGGAATCCCTTCAGTTATGAAATATCTGTATAGAGTGTTTTTGATAGAATAATCAGTCTAGCGTCTTTGAGATCTGGGAACACAGAGACTCACTGCAGAGCCTATGTAGCTTGGGCTCACTACCAACCCCCTAGGTAGTCAAGGATGACCGTGGATCTTTGATCCTCTTGCCTGCATCTCCCTATTGCAAGTGAGCACACATAGTACCATTCATGTCCCGTCAGTTTATGTGACAAACAGAGCCTAGGGCTTCATGCACAGCAGGCACGTGAGCCACATCCCCAGCCACTACCCTTTCTATAACTAAACAACATAATTCAGCTATGCTTAACCCTGGCAGCACCCCCACCTGGCAGCAAAGATGACCACTGAGCAGTTAGTTGGAAGGACTGGCTCTAAAATCCTTCCCTGCTCTATCAGGAAGTTATTCGAGTTTGTGCAGAGTCTCCGGTTCACCACCTACAAAGTGAAGGTGCGGCGAAGAGCCTGCTGCAGTCATGAAAGGGGAGCCCTGGGAGGAAGGAAGTATATTTAGGGGTGGGTAAAAACGAAGCTTCAGTAGGCTCTTCATTCAATGGTGCCAGATCAGCAATGGAGGCTGTCGACATGGCTCAAAATCGAGGCTGGAAGCAGGAAAACCAGCCGCTGATCTCAAGCAACCTTATTTTATTTATTTTTTTGGTTTTTCAAGATATGGTTTCCTGTATAGCTTTGGAGCCTGTCTTGGAACTAGCTCTGTTGACCAAGCTGGCCTTGAACTCACAGAGAGCCACCTGCCTCTGCCCCCACCCTCTGCCTCCTGAGTGCTGGGATTAAAGGTGTGCGCCACTGCCGCCCAGTGCAACCTTACTTTAAAGGTGAAGCATAGAAGCCTGACCACCACTTGAATTTACTACTGCTCTTCTGTTCTCTGGGCTCCTGATTACAGAACCCCTAGAACCCTCCCCAGCTTCTCACAGTGCCCAGACTTGCTGAAGCTCAGACCTTGGAAACATCTGAAACTCATTGTACAGAATCCAGGTCAGGGCAGAGGCCCTCAAATTATAGAATAAATTTTAAAACAATCAGGTTATCAATTGGGTTCTAGACCAAAATCGTGTCTGGAGACACTGTAATGATTGTATTACAATTCATTAAAACCTAGAAAACAATTTGGTCAAGATGAAAAAAAAATAGTTTAGGCAAGATGCGGACCATGCAGAAAGTATACCGTTAAATTTTAAGGCACACGTGCGGTGGTTGACATAAAATATTTTTCAGGAGACAACAATGAAGTTCACTTTGTAGACCAGCTTACCTGTAACATAGTGAAAAAAACAAAACCTCAAACAAAGAACATAGGCTGTGCACTTCAGGAAGGTCCTGGGATCCTTTGTTGTTTGTGCTTGAGACAGGTTCTCCCTCTGTGGCTCAAGCTGGCCTAGGTACCAATCCTCCTGCCTCCACCCTCCCAGTGCTGGGGTGGTAAGCATGCGCCACTACACTTGGCTCACTGCAGTTAGAAGCTGGGGCTGTAGCTTGAGGTAGAGGGTAGAGGGCGGGACCTAAGTCAAACACACACATACACACACACACACACACACACACACACACTGTAATGAGCGTGGAAACAGATCCCTCTGAATGAGTAAAAAAAAAAGGGAATCTATAGTGTAGGTAAAGTAGGAAATCTAGTATAAGGATAAGTATAATATAGAAAATAGAAAAGAAAACTGTGTGAAGTAGAAAACTATTAAGGTGAAATATTAAGAGAACATTTCTTCCCACTTAGAGGCTGCATCCAGTAACCTTGGTAACAAAAGTAATCTTGCCACACAAGAAGGACTCCACCCTTCTGTGTCCAGTCGAGACCGAGAGCCTAGGACATCTGGCTATCAGAAGGATCGGACTTAATTTTCTATATTATACTTATCCTTATACTACAGATTTCCTACTTTACCTACACTGTAGATTCCCCCCTTTTTACTTATCCAGAGGGATCTATTTCCATGCTCATCACACACACGCACAAACACACACACCTCCATTCTAATGCTCTGAAGTGCTTAAAGCACCTACTAAAAGTTCACTATTTTCAGAATTTTTTTTTTTTTTAAAAAAAGCTTCTCCTCCTAGTCTTTTCTGATTCATTTCCTCCTTCTTTCATCTAGGTTTTTGTAGGGGAGGTGAGAGCCCCTCCCACAAATGAGATCATTCCAACCAGAACCCAAGGCCAGTGCTTATCTGTTAAATCACAGGCCCTTTTCTTTCTAACCAGTAGACAGTTTCTAGTGGGAGTCTGAGAGAGGGACTAGAAGGGACCAGTGCTGGTTCTGACCTTTACCTCCTGTACCTAGGGCTGCAGTCACAGGCTGGCTTTTTCTGGGCAGCCATGGGCCCATATTCCCACTACTAACTGTGGAGGGTCTGTCCTCCCACAGCAGGGCGTGGGCAGATCTAGAGGGCTCTAGACGGAAGTTGGGACGCTGGTTGTAAACAGAGCCCCCCCCCCCCACTGCTGGAATCGTAGCTACTGAATAAGAGACAGCGAAGCCAGACATCTCTCTTCCAGTCTCCCCAAATCTCTTTCTCCAGTTCCTCCTCCCCACTTCTAAAGCTTTCTACATTGTATTCGCCACACCTGGATAATAAAAGCCGAGGAACGGAACCGTTAAGAAACAGGAAGGGTCAAGATAGAGTTACATTCAAATTACGGAGACAGGCAAAAGGAACACAAATTCGGAGCCAAATTTCTACTTCATGTTTCATCTACATCAGTGATACAGTCTTAAACTTCGGTCATTAGTCTTTCAAAAGCAAGAAAGCAAATGCTGTGTGTATCCTGTTATTTGCCCCAGAGGCCACCGGAAATGGCATCACCTCCCCAGACACTGCCTTATGAACGTTCCAACACCCAGCGTTGAACTTATTTACCCCGAAGACAGTCTGGGCCATTCAGATCTACAGCCAGGAAAGGACTCTCTCTAGGGACAAGATCTGGAATCAACAGAGAGACACCTTTTTTAAAAAAAAAAATACCACCAGGGGTTTCAATGAGTAAGTACCTCCCAGCTTGCTTTTTTCTTTCTTTTTTCTTTTGCTAATGAGTCTCCTTTTAGTCCAGGCTGCCCTCCTACTCCCCGAGGAAGCTCTGAGAAAGACCTTGAGAGATTACAGGGCTCTGCCTACCATTTTCTTTTAAATATAAATTTAAATTTTCTGACAGTCTTTTCTCAGATCCCTTCTGGTTACAAGTCGCCGGGCAAGTGGGGGGATGGGGGCTCCAGCCACCAGACTTGGTGGCACCGAGGGACCAGATGTTACGTGGTCTAGACTGGTAAACAATTAATTTTTTTTTAAAGGTGCAAGGAAACAGCCAATTCAGTGCTAAAGGAAAGAGGATGTGCAACGTCTAGTTATTGGCTGTGCAATCTTGTCTGTTGCGGTTGCCCACAGAGGCTTGGCATCCCAGCCCTGCTTTTCATAAGCATGTGATGGCAGGGAGCTCAGTCCATTTTTCAATCTTGATTTTTGAATGTGTAAATGAGTAAAATGGAAGATACCTAGTTCATAAGCTTCTTAAGAGGAGCACACAGATAACCAAGCAAAGCACTTAAATATCGCCCGAGGAGTCTAGATAATGTTACAGTTCAATACTTCATTTCACTGCAAATAATAATAGTATTTAGTAATAAAGCTAGCTAACATCCTGAGTGGTGGAAATGGACCCAAACAAACTCCACACCTGTTCTGTTTCCTTGTAGAAAATACAGGCTTTGTATAAAATAGTTTTTCCAGCAGAGAGTAACAAGGAGGAAACAACATGCAAATTTTTCTTTCTAGATAAATTTACTTCCTTCTTTTCATTTCAGCAAATATTTATAGCTGGAGTTAAAAGCTTAGGTTCTACCCAAAGAAAGGGAACCGACACCCCAAGCTTCTCTAATCCATCAGAAGTTGCCATCAATACCAGGCCAGTTCTGACTTTTGATAGCTGAGCAACTTTGGGCGATTTTGCGTAACTTCTGCCTGCCTCTGTTGATTTCTCTGTAGGTGGAGGTAACTAAAAACTGGGTTGTGAGAGACTCAAACAGTCCAGTCAGCAAGGTCAGTGCTCCTTGAATGTCCACTGGAAAGAGGCGGAAGTGGATGGGCAAGTGAGGGCACATCAGGGGAAGACGCTAAGATCACAGGACTCTGGGAACATTTGGGATGTGGAGGGAGGAGCTTGTGTCTGAGAAGAGCTGCTTTACTGGGCCAGTAAACACAGCAGACCAAGTGTTTCGGAGCAGTGTCCTTGGAGGAAGGCTAGGCCAATCCCTGAGTAGCTCTTAAGAAGCAGATCCGTGTTTGCTCCTAATTTCTCTCCTCTCCTCTCTCTCTCTCTCTCTCTCTCTCTCTCTCTCTCACACACACACACACACACACACACACACACAGATGGGGGGTGGGATTTGTGGAAAATAAAAAAATATTAGCCATACAGACTAAGGAAAAACAGCAGTGAAAGTGAACACTGCTCCACTTGTGAGAACGTTGAAAAATCCTAAAGTATATTTTCAATATACATGTGTATCTGTCTACCTTACATATCTAACAATGGAGTGTATAACCAATATATTATATTCTGTATGGCCTACAATTAACATTAACATACAGTTTGCTATATAAACATAACATAGATGCACATGTCTTGCCTAACATGCATCAGACCCTGGGTAGGATCCCCAATGCCCACCCTCAAAAAAGTGGAAATAAATAGCAATGGTTGGGTTGAGATACATTCAGGATTTCAGGTTAAGGATTTTTTTTTTTCTTTTTTGGTTTTTCGAGACAGGGTTTCTCTGTGGTTTTGGAGCCTGTCCTGTAACTAGTTCTTGTAGACCAGGCTGGTCTCGAACTCACAGAGATCCGCCTGCCTCTGCCTCCCGAGTGCTGGGATTAAAGGCGTGCGCCACCACCGCCTGGCCAGGATTTTAATGTTTCAAGAAGAGTGGAAACAGCCATTTATGAAAAGTAAGAACGACGTGACCCAGCTTTTTGGATGGAATTCATTGTCACCAGATCATTGATTTCCATCCAGAATTGAAGTTCTGAACACACATACAGCAGGCTGCCGTCATTCCAGGCCACAACCAATATTTACCTGGAGGAAGACTGTCCAAAGGTCAGAAGGGAATTGTCTCGATTTGGTGAGAGGATAAAGAACCCTGAAGGATTTGGAAGGCTATTGTTACTCCTCCCTTCCCCCCACTAAAGAATTTTACCCACCTGAATGCCTGGAGTTGAGGAGACGCTGGGGGGCTGGGGTGAGGAAGGGTAACCATCAACTATTAAGAAATCACTGGTAACTTAGTGGTTCTCCTCCCCTCCAGGCCACGAGGCCTGAAGCAGGGAGAGTGCAGATCTGGTGGGGGGCGGGAATCTCCAGCTGGATCTTACCCCAGGGCCAAATCCCGGACCCTCCCACTCAGCCTGGTGGCTTTATTGCCTCAATTCTGAGTCATCTGCATACAAATAGTATTGATAAGGTGATGGGTGGTCCTTCGTCTTCCTCCTGAATCTGGGGAAGAGAAGCCATTTGCACTCTGACTTGGAAAACGGGCGAAAACCTGAGCTAGATAGGGCAAAACTGGGATAGCTCGCAGGCCGGAGGGTGATTGAAACGAATCTTGTGGGAGGCTGGAGAACTGGTGAGAGTGCCTTGAGAAAGACCAGCTTTGAGGGAATCCCTGAGAAAGAACGAGAAGCACCGCAAAGGATCCAGGTCACAGAACCCAGTGACAGGGACCCCGGAGGGCGCTGCAGAAGTGTGGTCCGCAGCCGCGGGGCAGGTCAAGAATCGGCCTTTGAAAGGAAGCCAAGAAGCCAGTGCTGATTTACTGACAAATGTCTTCGGGTTTGAAGCGATTGGAAGCCAAGTTAAAATCAGAGGAGGAGTGAGTGGGAGGAGAGGACGGGACACAGGCAGTGCAAACTGCGCTTTAAAACTGGCCTTGAAGGCCAGGCAGTAGGACAGGCCTGGAGGTGGAGCCAGCAAAGTTACCTTTCTTTCTTCCTCTTCTCCCCCCCCCTTTTTTTTCTTTTTTTCTTTTTTCTTTTCTTAACAGCAAGAAATTAGCAGGGTGGGAGCTAACCTTAGGACTAGTGACTGAAATGCAGACTGCAGGGTTAGTCCGCTCTGGAAAGATAGCTTGAGGGTGTAGAGAACTCCCGCGCGACTTGGCTGTTGGCTTTCCCCAGAAACAGGTACGTGTCCGCCTTTGCACTCGGTGGGAAGGGGGACCTCGGGGTCGGGGGCTCAGGGACTTGGGGTCCTCGGGCTGTTTTCTCTAGAACCTGAGTGGGGCCAGTTTGCTTTGCTGGAGTTTAAAGGGGGCCTGGTGTTCTGCAGGCGTGGCTAGGCCTTTGAGACGCCGGGTGCCCTCTCTTCCTCGCTGGGGGAAACCGAGGCTCGGAGAGAGGGGCCTCCAGCCTGAGACCAGTATGGCACTGTGTCTTGGAGGTGAAAGCCAGGTTGCCAACTCAGGATATTTTCCTTACCCTAATAGACAAATTAGAGGGGAAACCGAAGTAACGAATCGGGGTGGTAATACTAAAAATTTAAAAACCTGTATACGATCGAAATCAAGCTTTTAGGAACTGTTTAAAAGATCCAAATGGGAACCTGGCAGTGGTGGCACACGCCTTTAATCACAGCTCTTGGGAGACAGGCAGGCGGATCTCTGAGTTCGAGGCCAGCCTAATCTGCATCGTGAGTTCTGGGACAGCCAGAGTTACAAAAAGAAAACCCTTCTTTCTTTTTTTCTAAAAAGTGATGCCACCCGCATAGTGAGTATCAGGATCTTCTACTTATCCTTAAATTTACTCCTTGCATTTCTTTCTGTAGCCCTTAAGATTTATAATAGATTAATTAATATGGGAAAACATGCATACTTTAAGAGTTTTTTGTTTTTTGATTTTTCGAGCTTTGAGAGATTTCAAGTTTTGTAACTTTTCAGACTCACAGTGTTTGAAGTTCTTCCAGTGATTTATCTGCCAAATCGCAGCGTTATTGAATGTTGGTGGGGTGAGCAGGTACAGCCACGTTCCCAGTGTGTATCCACCTCTACGCCAGCCTAAACCAGCCTAAGCCGATTTGTAGCCACCGGAAACCCACTTTAAAGGCTGGATGTCATTGTGGTCACAGGTCGCTACCAAGTTAAATATGCAGAGTGACGGCTGTCAAGGCCCTGGCACACACTGGAAACTACATTTTTCCTAATAAACTGCAGGCCTGAGGCCTGTTAAACAGGTGATGCCATCTGGCTTGGGAGGATGAGATGTGGGCTTCCCAGTGGCCACCTGGCAGTGGTTTCCATGGTGCCACACTAAACCACAGTATTACACAATGCCTATATATATTTGATGTGGTCCTAAAGCCATTTTTAAAATACTGTTTCTCCCACTTTTGGTGCTGTGTAAAGTAGATATTAGCTTACTTGCCCCAAATCAAAAGTCTGTGGCGAGTTTCCAGGCCCGAGTTCAGAATGCAGTGACTGCCCTTTCCCCCAGAAGCTATCACTGTTCAGGAGTTAGCAGGCCCTGGGGGCCACTCTGGGATCCATAACTGATTAGGCCCCATGCAGGCTGTATAATTTTTGACTGACTAGTTCAACTTAGAAAACGAAACAATTGCCAAAACATAAGGAAGTCAAAAGGTCCTGAGAAATTATTTTTTTGCATTGCCTTAAAATTGGAAGGGATCTTGGAAAAGTAAAAAATAATTATTTGAGCTGGGCATTTTTTAATCTCAGCACTCAGGATGCAGAGGCAGGCAGATCTTCATGTTCAGGGCCAACCTGGTCTACATATCAAGTTCCAGGCCTACCAGGCTACACAGTGTAACCCTGTCTCAAAAAACAAACAACAACAACAAAAAAAAACCCCCAGAACTGATGATAGATAGATAGGTTCCCCCTAAATGCCTTTAAAGGGAAAGGAGCTGTTTGAAGGACGTTGAGTGGGCTTTAGTCAGGTCATGGTGATGAGGGTTCCTGCTAGAAAGCCAAGCAGCATCCCAATTGTCAGATCTGTCATCATGCTTTAAGACATCTCTGTCCCATCTCCCGAGCAACCAGCCTAGTTCGTTTTCACTCTTCCAAAAACTAACCTAATTACCACAAAACATTGATTAATGAAAAATAAATGTTCTGGGTTTGGTTTGCAATAGCTATAAAGTAATAGCCAAAGATTTATAATTCATGCCTTGTGAAACTTCTGAAAAATTAATTATCCCCAAGTAGAGAAAGAAATACAAGCAAATTGGCTTGAAAGTCATTTTTTTAAAATAGCGGTAGCTGTTATTAATGCATAGTTCTCCCGCAACTTTAGAGGCCCAGATCTTGCAGCACAACAGCTTTGGAGAGTCATGAAACTTTTTAAGAGTGGAATTGTAGGCCTTGTACCCCTCTGAGTCCTTAGACACAGCCTTGGGTACTTCTGCACACAGCCCTCCTGCAGAGTCAGCCCCCTCTTATCTGTCCTTGGCAGCCTTATCTCTCCCCTGGAGGGAAGGGAGTAACTCATTTTGAGTTTTCTTTTTGAGCCGTCCAGCACCAGGCCCCCCACCCCCGTGCTGGGATCTTAGGTGTTTACACCGCCCAGCTGAGACTACCCTTTTGTACCTGGTTCTGGAGTGCCATTGTTTCCTCCCTAATTAAATGAGTCCATGAAATCGCTTCCAGAACTAATGAGGGACTTCAGCAATTTGCTCTAGCCTGACTATATTAAAATCCCTGTTTGTTTCAGTTTTTCTAAATAAAAAGAACCTGAAACTGGAAGTTTCTGGCCTTCGTTAAGTGTCTGAGAAGATTCGGGTTTTTACTAAAAGTGTCATTTAGTTTTGACCAGTGTTGAGTGGCTTCCTAGCATGGCCCAGTCTTTCCCCTGGGGACCAGGCAGAAGGTGTGTGACTTTGTCCATCTGTTTATTGTGCGCCCCCACCCCTTGATTTGGTTTCAGCTGCTTACTGGAATGTTCTCTCTCCCTCTCTTTCTCCTTGATGCTATCTGCACCTTCCCCTGAAGGACAATGGAGAATTCTTGCTGGTCTGCTTGACTGGGGGTGGGGGACGCAGCGTGTTTTCCCGAGGTTCTCTGGTTAAGATCCTGCCACATCTTTCCTTAGGGAAGTCATTGTTTGCAGCATTTTGTTCTCCTGGACTATGCTAATACCTGGTTTAATATTTGTGTCTCTTGCTTGAGACTGAAGGATGAGATGTCATAGAGTCATTACCCCTACCCCCAAGCACACACAACCATCCACCCTGGGTTTCCATCATTGCCTATGAATAAAAACAAATAAGTCCATGATTCCTATAACCTTTTCTATCACATAGGAATGGGGAGAACGATCCCTCTCTCATTTTGTAAACATCAGCTCCCCTGTGGTCATTGTCTCCTTTGGTTTTTGTGGAATCTGGATGAAAGGTGAACAGTTCTCCCCTTTGCAGATGGTTAAACTGGTGGTGTTCAGTAGCACGGCTCACTGAGAATCACTAACTCATACTGGTGCGAAGAGCTCGGCAGGCCTTGTTCTAAGTACTTTACATTTGGCTGGAGCCTTGGTTCAGGTTAAGAACACTGCTGCTCAGAACCAGGCAACCACTCAGTCTGCTCACAAGTGCCCTGAACTCCAGCTGCAAGGAATCTGACAGTCTCTACTGGCCCCTGGGAGTGTCTGCCTTCATGGCAGAATAAACAGAATATCGGAGTGCTCCACACTCAGTCCTCATGTTTCAAGAGAGGCCAAGTAACTTAGCTGCAGGCAAAGAGCTGGCAAGGAGAGCTGGTGGCCATCCCAGCATTGTGGATCCAAAGCAGTGTTCTTCTCTAGCATGGTTTTTCTTGTTTTTGATCCAGGCTGGCCTTAAACCCCTGATCCTCCTTTTCTGTCAAGCTGTGTGCTATTACAAGCTTGCACCACACCTGACAGTTCCCCCTGAGGTTCTCCCTTCCCCCTCCTGTTATTTATTTATTTTTTTTCCTTTTGATATTTTGAGACAAGGTCTTACTGTGTAGATCAGGCTGCCCTAAAACTTGTAGCAATTCTCCTGCCTCTGCCTCCCAAGGGCTAGCATTATGGTCCTATACTACCAAGCCTAGTTTATCAATGTTTCTAAGCTCAGAAGACAAATAATGTTAGCTCATTCTTTCCCCCTCTCTTTTGGAGACAGCGTCTCCTGTTTGGTGGCTGGCCTTGAACTCACTAAGTAACCGTAGATGACTTTGATCCTCCCAAGGGCTGCTATTACAGTTTGTGCCACCACTCCCTGGTTGTGTGGTGATGGGGATGCAGCTCCTGGCTCTCCGTGGGCTCTATGAGCCACATCTCCAGCCCTGTGTGCGCTCTACTTCATGCACGGGGTTGGTGCACCACAGTGATGAGCTATTATTGTTAAACTTTTTTCCTCTTTGGTTTTGTTGACAGGGTCTCACAGTGTAGCCTTGGCTGTCCCTGGAATCAAGTAGACCAGGCTGGCCTCTAAGGCATAGATACCCAGCTGCCTGTCTCTCCCAAGTGATGGGATTAAAGGTGTGCCACCACTCCCTGTAGAACTTCTTTTCTCAGAGCAGTAATAAAAACTGGGGGAAGATAAGTCAGTATTTTTACCTGTTCTGTGAAAACTCAGTATTATGCTCCCTATTTTTTTTTAAAGATTTATTTATTTATTATGTATACAGTATTCTCAGTACTCTTCCTGCAGGCCAGAAGAGGGCACAGATCTCATTACAGATGGTTGTGAGCCACCATGTGGTTGCTGGGAATTGAACTCAGGACCTTTGGAAGAGCAGGTGGTGCTCTTAACCACTGAGCCATCTCTCCAGCCCCTCCCTATTTTTTTTTTTAAGATTCATTTATTTATTATATATACAACATTCTGCCTCCATGTATGCCCACACGCCAGAGGAGGGCGCTAGATCTCATTACAGATGGTTGTGAACCACCATGTGGTTGCTGGGAATTGAACTCAGGACCTCTGGAAGAGCAGACAGTGCTCTTAACCATTGAGCCATCTCTCCAGCCCTATGCTCCCTATTTTTATAGTTTATATTTGTGACCACTTAAAGCCACATGTAGTACAGCCCTGACATTTGTTAGCTGGGCCTAGTGTCCCATTCCTTTTCATTGCAGCACTCTGGAAAGCAGAGGCAAACGGATCTCTTGAGTTCTTCAAGGCCAGCTTGGTCTACCTAGTGAATTCTAGGACAGTGAGGGGCTACATAGTGAGACCCAGTTTCAAAGACAAAGCTTCAGGTGTCGTGGTACATTCTTAGAATAACCAGCACTCAAAGGCTAAAATGGAATGATCAGGCGTTTGAGGCCAGCATCGATTATACAGCAAAGTCTTTTCTCACGAAATAATGAATGACCATGCGCACCGTTAATCCTCCCAGCACTGGGGATGCAGAGGTAGGTGGATCTCTGTGAGTTCAGAGTCAGCCTGTCTACAGAGAAAATCCCAGGATAGCCAGGGCTATGCAGAGAAACCCTGCCTCAAAAAACCAAAGGGGGAAAAATGCCTAATTTTTTTTTTTTAAACAATTTAATGCCAGTTATCCGCCCATGCCTATTAAAATGTTTACAGTGTATATTACCTTAGAGTTCTCTGGGCATAGTGGATCCCAAGGGCTTTCACACCGCCGGAGTGGCTGCTATGCCCCTGCCTGGGTGACGTTTGGAGTGTTGAAGTGGGAGTCTACTTTTTAGTTGTCCCAGGGTGTGCAGCCTAACTGCACATGAGGTTTTGTGTCCCTGTCTCACAGGGTCCCACAACAGAGGCTGACCTAGCCAGTAGACGAGGCTGGCCTTCAACTCACATAGATCCTCCTGCATCTGCAGTTCTGGGATGTGAGGTGTCGCCGCCACCGCCTGGGTTTCATTTGAGGTTTAACTCAGCCCCGGGGACCTGCAAATTCACCAAGCGACAGATTGACAGGAGACTAGAAAGGCAGTTTGGGAATTTACAGGCCAAGAAAGGCTTGGAAGAAGAGTGGAAACAATGCCAGTCATTAGCATTTTTCCTCTGGTTGTAGAAGCAGAAGACTGAACCTAGAGCCTGCGTCAAGTGAGGCCTCTATCCCCGGAACCTTTTTGTTTCTTTTTTTATTTTTTTAAGCGTGTGGGTGGCATTTGGGGGTGGGGTATAAGCACACACATACACGCTCGAGTCTGGAGACTGGTGGTCAGTATGCATGCTTTCTTTTTTTAAAAAAAAACAAGCAATATTTATTTGTCTTTCTGGGTCTGAGAGGTGTCTTCCTCTTGCCATTTTCTACACCGCTCCCCCCCCCCCATTTATTTATTTATTGAGACGGGTTTTCCTTATGTAGTATTGGCTGGTCTGGAATTCGTTAGACTCACCTAGCCACCCACCTAGCGTTTTGAACTTACAGAGTTCTGCCCGCCTCGGCCTCCCAAATGCTGGGACAAATGGCGGCCATCACCAAGCACAGCTGCCTGCCTTATTTTTTGTGAACAGTTCTTTTACTGAACCTAAATCTTGCTGTTTTGGCTAGACTAGCTGCCGGGAAAGCCTCTGGGGTCTGCTCGTCTGTGCTTGGAATTTAAGCTGTTAGTGCCTTTTTTACCCACTCAACCATCTGCCCAGCCCAGTAGTTGGATTTTTTTTTTTTTAACACATTGAAGATGTTTTGAGCTTCAGGAAACGGTGATTGTTGGAAGTAAACAGGAGGTAGATGGAGAACAAATTGCAGGCCTAACAGACAGATCAAGGAGGGTTTCTGCTCCTTCCCTCTTCCAAACCCTCCCCACACATACACTTCAGGCCCAGTTTTCTGGAGCCAGCAATGTGGGTTTTTTGGGGGCACACACCCTCAGGCAGCAGTTCCCCAAACTGTACTTATCCCTTATCTTTCTTAAGCTTGCTGTTCTGCCTAAGGGTGAGCCCCTCCCAGCGCTCTCTCTTCTGTTCTAGCAATTCCCAGACCCAGCTTGTGCAAAAGAGGGAGCTAAGAGGCGCCACACAGGGCATCATGGTTCGCCTGTTGGCCTCCGAAGTTCAGCAGCTTCTCCATAACAAGTATGTGGTCGTCCTTGGGGACTCTGTACATAGGGCGGTGTACAAGGACCTGGTGCTCCTGCTGCAGAAGGATTGCCTGCTCAGTCACAAGCAGCTCAGAACCAAAGGGGAGCTGACATTTGAAAAGGATCAGCTGATGAGGGGAGGCGAGCTGGACACCCTACACAACCGCACTGACTACCGCGAGGTGCGCGAGTTCTGCTCCGACCATCATCTGGTGCGCTTCTACTTCCTCACACGCGTCTATTCTGAGTACATGGAGAGCGTCCTAGAGGAGCTGCAGTCGGGCACGCATGCCCCAGATGTGATCATTATGAACTCTTGCCTCTGGGACGTCTCCAGGTATGGGCGGAATTCCTTGAGTAGCTACAAGCAGAACCTGGAGAACCTGTTTGGGCGCATGGACCAGGTACTGCCCAAGTCATGCCTGCTAGTGTGGAACACTGCCATGCCTTTGGGTGACAAGATCAAGGCGGCCTTCCTCCCTCAGAAGTGTAAGGGCCAGTACCGGATCTCGGTGGCCACCCTGAAAAAAAGAGTGAGCCAGGCCAATTTCTACAGCCATGCCGAAGCAACAAAGCGCTGCTTCGATGTGCTGGACTTAAATTTCCACTTCCGTCAGGCCAAGAAGCATCTGCAAGGAGATGGGGTGCACTGGAATGAGCATGCACACCGCCGGCTCTCCTACCTGCTGCTTGCCCACATGGCTGATGCTTGGGGGGTGGATCTGCCCCACCGAGACCCATGGGAGCCTGGTCCTGTCGTGTGGGAAGGTCCAAGTCAGGTAGAAGAATGGCAGCCCCAGGTCAACAGAGGTCCCCAGGCCTTTGCCTTGTCTCCACCCATGCCTCTTCCCAGGCCACGCCCACTGTTCCCACCCCCTGGCTTGCCCTTAAGGCCCCCCCCACCCCTCCTAGCATGTTCCCTACCCCCACCTCAGGCGACACCCCCATTACCACACTATCCACAAGATGCCTATTTTTCCTCAGACCATGTTTTCCAGTCAGATGAATTCTATATTCATTCAGATGACCCCCCACCTACCCACGGAGGATATACCTTTGAGGGTGACTTTAGTTTTTATCCCCAACCACCCGTGCCCAACTTCCGCCCACCCTGTTACCAGCGCCAGGCCCCTGTGGTACATAGGGGTTTCCCAAGGCATCTTGCTCGCGGCCCCTATATGCCCTGGAGAGAGAGGCCCAGGCGACCACAAAGACATGCCCCAGCCTGCCTAGAGTCAAGGCCTCAGTAGTCTGACTTAAATCCCTTTACCTCTGGGTGGGGCTATGTGATATTGACTTTCCCTTTCACGTCCTAGTCTCCACACACTGACCTTGCTACTTAAGCCCAGCTAGTCCCATCTTGGAAGTCTCTGTGTTCACTGCTGTTAGAGACGAGGAATAGCACACTGGCCCACTCCTGCTGCCTGAGGAGGTCTCCTCTCTCTGAGTGACCAAGCAAGCATTCTTACTACCTCCCCCCCGCCCATCGCTATTCTTGTTGCCTTTTTGTAAAAATAAAATTGAAATACAGAAATGGTTTCCGAAAGTGGTTCTGCCTGTTGTGTGTGAGAGCATGTGTGTGTGTTTCATGGCTGCCTCTCCTTGCAGTTAATCCATTAGCTCTTAGAGCAAGGACTGTAGTTTTGACAGCCCTTTAGTAAACTATTCAAAACAGCTTAAAGGAATTCCAAGAGAGTTCCTGTAAATAGATTGGAGTCCTCACAAGGAAGCGGCAGAAATGGAACTTTTCGGTGATTCGAATTTCTCAAAGAATTGATGACTTTTAGGACTAGAAAAACTAAATACATTAAAACATCTACAAATGGGAAAACTGAGTGCAGGAAATGTTTTGACTAGCCTTTCCTACTACTTTATACTTGTTACTGTTAACACGTGTGTGTGTGTGTGTGTGTGAGAGAGAGAGAGAGAGAGAGAGAGAGAAAGAGAGAACATGACTTTGAACTGGCCCTCCTGCCTCTGCTTCCTGAGTGCTGGGATTACACACATACACTTCTGTGTCTGGCGGATGGGGTACTGGGAATTAAACTCTAGGGCTTCATGTACGCTAAGCAAGCACTCTACCAACTGAGCTATGTCCCCTGCCTCCATTAGCTTTCCAAGCTCAGGCCTGAGGTTACAGCAGCTGTCATCCCCAGAAGGGAAGAGCAGAGGTGGGACACTGTCACTCGGAATTGTGTGGTGAATGAAAAGCTATGCATCTTGGTTAGATGGAGGTTTACCTTTGACTTGGAGACCCCATGACTAGTCCTGGCTTGTGGGTGTAAGGAAACTGGAGAAAGATAAGCCACACCTAGTGGCAATGTGAATTACCATTGTCGAGTAAAGCTGCAGATTGGAAGGGACCACCCAGTCACCAGCCCTTTTGGGGTCAACTCAAATGGCCACAACCAGTATTCTGTAAGTCGTTAAATGTGTTTAAGTGCTAGACCCTCAGAAAAAATTACATGCATCAACTAAGATGCACGTAAAATCTGGGTGATGGCAGTTTTGCACTGAGGGATTGGGCTGCTTCATAGTCTATCCCTAAAGAGTGGCATTCATGAAATCACAAGGAATTGAGACCAGATGGTTCCAGAAGAAATACACAGCACTTAGTCATCATCCCACCAAAGAGAACATATTCCTGGAAAAAGGTTTTTGCTTCAGAGATCCCAGCAGCTGAAGTCCTGGGACTGAAAATACTCTGTCCAGTGTTGAGTGTCGAGATGATTAAAGGTATGATATGGCTCCACCCCGGTCCTAGAAAGGCCGTGTAAACTGGCCAGCACCTGTGTAACAATCTGATGGTGTATAGTTGAAGCAGTATAGTGATAACCTTTGAGGATCCTAGAAATGTGGTTTTAGCAAAAGCAAACAATTTGCCAGAATGTCAACAGAATCAGAGGGGTAATGTCTGGCTGTGGCCTGGCACCAAAAATCCTCACATTGTACATTAATTCTGGGTTTATTTTCCAAACAGCATGCAACTTCTGGTCTGAGTCTTACTGAGTTTTTATACTTTCAGGAATAAACCTGATATTCTTTTATCTCTCCCAGATTGGTAAGCATTAATCTTTGTTCATCTCTCTCATTGTGCCTGGTGAGCCAAGTTCTTAGATGTGGTGCCAAGGACCAGATGGTAAATTGGTGATGAATTTCTGGGTTATGGATTAAATAGTGATAGCCATTCAATGACAGTTTGCAGGGAGATAGAGCAAAAAGGTTTGGTCAGGGATAATGTTTCGTATATAGACGTATTCTCTTATAGCGTGGAAAGTCACAAAGCCAAAATCCATGTGTGATGGTTATTCTTAGTTGTCATCTTGACTATGTCTGTAATTAACTAAAACCCAGTTAACTGGATAGGCAACCATTGTTGGACTAGGTGGATCACAGGCTGTAAACCATTCTAATAACCCCCCTTTTCTTATAGGTAGGTAGGTAGATAGCCAGACAGACAAATAGAAAATACATATTCATTCTATCAGCTGTTCCTCTAGAAAACCCTAATACAGATTTTGGTATCAGAAGTGGTTCTAGAACAACACAGACATAAGGATAAATATTTTAATTATCTGGCATAGGCTTTCCAATTTGCCAACATCTACAGTTACCAAAGCCTCTCCAGTTTCTGAACCCTCTCCTAGAAACTCAGAGTATTGAAAGCCCAATGGTGTGAACTGTTTTTAAAACTTAGGGAGAGACAGATGGATTTGGTTATCCCTATTTACCAGTTGTGAGAGACAATCGATCTGGTCACTCTATATGTAAAATTTTTGACAATTGTGAGGAAAATGAGGATTCTAGTTAGTTGCTCCCATCATTTCTGGGTAAATAGACAAAGGAAAAGAATGGGCTCTTTGATGAAATTAACCAGCTTCTAGCATCTCAGGATAGGGTGAAGAACAATGAACTCAGTGCTAAAATTTTCTAGCTTCAGACGAGCAGCAACAGTCTAAAGATTTCTAAATGTAACCTGGGAGGGAGCAAATCTTCTCTCCAGCAGCCACAGGGCTCAAATTGTGGAAAACCAAACCAAAGCACTCCTTAGAAAGTTGGCCAAACACAAGAGACCACTTCCTAAATAGAATCCCAGTAGCACAAACACGAAGAGAAACAAGAAATAAATGGGACCTCCTGAAACTGGAAAGCTTCTGTAAAGAAAAGGACACAATCAACAAGACAAAATGGCAACCTATAGAATGGGAAAAGATTTTCACCAACCCCACATCAGACAGAAGACTAATCTCCAAAATATACAAAGAACTCAAGAAGTTGGTCACCAAAAGAACAAATAATCAAAAAAAAAAAAAAAAGAGTACAGACCTAAACAGAGAACTCTCAACAGAGGAATCTAAAATGGCTGAAAGACACTTAAGGAAATTGTTATGGTTTTAGTCTCTGGTCTCTTTAAGAGCCAAGCCACGCCCACTCCCTCTTCCATCCACTGAGGCAGGCTGATCTTCAGCTTCCTGCCTTTGCTCTCTTTTCCATCTTCCTCTCGGAGAAGCAGCTTTGCTTCTGCCTCTCTCCCCACTTCTCTGCTTCCCCCCTTCTGTCTCTCCTCTCCTCTCCTTTCTCTTCTCTTCTCTCTCTCTCTCTCTCTCTCTCTCTCTCTCTCTCTCCCTTCTCCCTTCCCCCTTCATAACCCCCTGAATAAATATTCAACCTCACTCTTGCAAGTTGTGTCTATCCATATTTCTGTCTTCTGCCCGCCTGCCATGTGTCTCTCTTCCTGGGACCAGCCATTGCTCAGGGACCAGCAGCCATCTCTGCCTGGGACTGGCTGCTCTCAGGGCCTGCTGCCTGCCGCCACATGGCCTGTCACCACCGCTTGGGCTACCACTCTGGGACCGCAGCCGTCTCTGCCTGGGACTGGCTGCTCCCAGGGCCCATTGTCTGCCACCACATGGCCTACTACCACCATTTGGGACCTACAGCATTTCTGCTGCCTACTGCCGCCGGGGATCTTGCAGCATTTTTTTTTTTTTTAAATTATAAAAGAAAGCTCAACATCCTTAGCCACCAGAGAAATGCAAATCAAAACAACTCTGAGATTCCATCTTACACCTGTAAGAATGGCCAAGATCAAAAACACTGATGATAACTTATGCTGGGGAGGTTGTGGGGTAAAGGGAACACTCCTGCATTGCTGGTGGGAGTGTAAGCTGGTACAGCCCCTTTGGATATCATTATGGCGATTTCTCAGAAAATTAGAAAACAACCTTCCTCAAGATTCAGCAGTACCACTTTTGGGTATAGACCCAAAGGATGCTCAATCATACCACAAGGACATGTGCCCAACTATGTTCATAGCAGCATTGTTTGTCATAGCCAGAACCTGGAAACAACCTAAATGCCCCTTGACCAAAGGAAAATGTGGTACATTTACACAATGGAGTACTATACACCGCAGAAAAAAAAATAATGACATCTTGAAATTTGCAGGCAAATGGATGGAGCTAAAAAACATCATATTGAGTGAGATAACCCAGATCCAGAAAAACAATAATCACATGTACTCATAAGTGGTTTTTTAACATAAAGCAAAGAAAACCAGCCTACAAATCACAATCCCAGAGAACCTAGACAACAATGAGGACCCTAAGAGAGACATACATGGATCTAATCTACATGGGAAGTAGGAAAAGACAAGATCTCCTTAGTAAATTGGGAGCATGGGACCATGGGAAAAGGTTGAAGGTGAGGGTAAAGGAAGGAAGGGTAGCAGAGAAAAATAAAATAAATAAAATCAATTTAAGAAAAGGTCAGCTGAATAGCTGGGCAGTCGTGGTCCATAACTAAAACCAGCACTCGGGAGGCAGAGACAGGCTGGTCTCTATGAGTTTGAGGCCAGCCTGGTCTACAGAGTGAGTTCCAGGACAGGCTCCAAAGTTACAGAGAAACCTTGTCTCAGAAAACAAAACAACCCCCCACCCCCAAAAAAGAAAAAGACAGAAAAGAAAAAGTTGGTCAGTTTCAGACTCAGAGAATGTTGGCAGTTATGGTAAGGGCATCACTTGGTCAAAAATGGGATCCTGTAACTTGGGATGGAAATGTGTGGGAGGACCCTATTGAAGCTGAGAACTCTGAACCTCAGATTCTCCGGGGTTATCACCTGAGGAAGCAGTCTCTCTACCCTCAGCAGATGTACTCCCACCCCCTCCCTTTGAAACATGCCTTTTCTGCCTGACTGAGGAAATTAATCCTCCATTGTCTGCTAAACCAGCAGGACTTTCTCTGAATGAAATGCCGGGCAAGACAACACTGATGTCCCTCAGGGCCCACCAATAGTTGTCTCTAGACCAGTAGCCAGATTCAAGGCTAAGCAGGCTCCTAGAGGGGAGGGAGAATGTGTAATCCCTCAGTAGGTGTGCTACACTGCTGAAGAGCTTGGTGAGTTTGCCAGTTCATTCAAGCAGAAGTCTGGGGAATAGGTGTGGGAACAGATTTTAAGGATGTGGCATAATGGTGGAAGGAATATAAAACCGGATCGCTCTGAGTTGATTTACACGGGCCCACTAT